GTGAGTGTCACTTATTTGTTCAACCCTCAGTACCAGAGAGATAAATCATTGTGATCCCAGACTTGCCACTGATGTGATGGGGGCAGGAATCAAGCCCCGTCTACTCTCGGGAACACACATCAAATGTAGGAAATTATTTCAGGTTGGAGAAGCAAAACATCACACCTTTGTAAAGACAGTATCTTCACAGTAATAATCAATACCAAGTAATTAAAAATAATAATGATTTCTGTTTATGTAATTCTTCCAGAACTGAATTTTTTTTTCAGGGAATCCAACACTTCTTTTTAAAAATTTCCTGTGGGTAAAGGATAATCAAATCAGTTTTCATATATTAAAGACTAAATCCTTCATATATTCCCATTTCATACTTTTCTTGTGATTCTTAGAACTCTTTCTCTTACCAGCTTTCAGTTGATTTAGATTAAGCCCTGTAACTAATGCCAAAAATTTATTCCTGCCTTGAAAAGGGATTTTGTAATGCTGGCATCGTACCTTTTTGTCTCTCTATGGCTCCTTGTCAAAACTATATGCTTTACAAGTTGTTGGTTTTGTGTTTTTTTTTTTAAAAAAAAACCTTTTTTGCAGCCTCAGTCTGGCACCCAGAAGTCAGGCTGAATTCCTCCGGTCTCGTGCATCCTCCCAGCATCTCTGTGAGCCGCACAGGCCAAACTCCGCACTTATTCCACATGTGCTACTCAGTTGTCTCCAAAGTGCCCCAAGTTACTATGAGCAGAGTTGGGTTTGAAATAAACTTCATTAAACTTTTTGCTGATGATAATCAAGCCACAATAGAATAATAGAAAAAAAAAAAAGTGCCTACCCAGAAATGCAGTTCAGATGTTCCTTTCTCCTTTCATATCAGCCAGTACCCAAACATCTCACGTATCTCAGTGACAGTGATGGACTCGTCCACCAGCTCCACTCGACATCCCAAAATCTGACCGTAACGTTTCAGTGGCGTCTTCTCAAAGCCGTTACTTTTCTCTTCCATTCTTCTCATGTCTCTCAATGTTGTATGCCACCAAAATGTTTACAATATGATTTTATTTTAGGATCCTTTCCATTTTTATAAATAAATCAAATGAATGTTCCTTTTATACAGCTGTAATTCACCCACATTGTTGCAGTAGAGCTTATTATCTCATTTACATTTTTAAGTGCTTTTCAAAGTGTAGGATATCTGGGCTGGAAAGCAAAACATTTCATTTCTTTGTTCTCAGGCCAACACAAAGCACTTCCAAGGTCAGGTATGGTGTAGACTTTCAACAGCAAACATGTTTACATGGCATTTGAAAGCCAGTTTAACTGAAAAACCCCCCCCTGTCTTTATAATAGTGATGTAAGTCAACTTAGCAAAGCTGAGGGACAGGAATTAATTCTGTACCTGGAAAAATTTAACTAAATAAGTTAGTCTTTGTTTTCCGTTCAGGGAAAAAAGCCTCTGACACTTAAAAATTGGCCTGGTTTTTTAATTTTTTTTACCCCATTTTCTTCATCTCAGCAGTTATTAAACACAAGCTCTGTTACTCTTTGGGCAAAATCTGACACTTTGAAGCTGTAAAATCAAAACTGCATTTCTAAACAAAACAAACCCCATTGTTGAATTTTACAAAAGAGATGTTCTATGGTGTACCTGGGGTAAGTCGTCTGCTGTTTTTAAGAGTATTCTACATGACAAAAGCTTCTCTGTCAGATACAGAAAAAGATTTGAGGGTACTGAGTAGCTTCAGAAACAGCTATCAGCATTCAGGCTCTGGCCACTGCATATGAAGCTTTTTGACAATAGAGAGAATTTTCAGTGTGATCTTCAAAAGGGTGCATTATTCATGACATCCATCGTGATTCCTCCTAGAAAATTAAAATCATGGGCAACAAACTTGCTTACTTCTAATTACTATTTTCAGAGCTAATCATATGCAGGAATCTATAGCAACCATGAGATTTTGATGTTACTTTTTTTTTTTTTTGGCATGGCTTTGATCAAATACTGATCTTTTGGTTTTACTTTTTTGTCCTTGTGCTGATAGGAAAGCTGGAATACCCAAATGAACATTAATTACTCATGGAACATCCTTTATACACAAAACTAGATTCTACGAAGTGACTGGTAGGAGAGCTGGTATGCAACACAGCAATAGTCCAAAAATGGTCAAGTTACAGGTATTCATGATTGATCAGAGGAGTTAGTCTTTTTTTGTGCTGTCCCAATGCAAAATGTGCCACCAGCCAGTTATGATGTGATTGGAAAAGTCTGTAAACTCATACGGTATATTCTGGTTTGGACAATTGGTGAATGGATAAGTATAAGACTTGATAGTTTGCTACACTTATATGCTATAGTAAAAATACCTCATTTCTAAATTGTACTTGTTTAAGACATTGTCAGCTCTCATAATAAAAAAAAAAAAAGTGTGCTCCACGCTGGCAAGCGCTATCTAGAGTAGGCGGACCTAACAAAGACTGTGTTATCTGAATTTCCCAAATTAAATTACTTTAAGATACATTGCAAACCCTCAGATTTAAAGGAACCTCTCATTTTATGCTCTGCAAAATATGTTTGTCTGTTGTAAATAAGAAAAGTAAAAATGGAGAAATTAAGGAAGATGACAGTGGTGCACCAATTCTCTCCTTTGCCACCATGAGGTTGCTGTCTTTACCAGGAACAAGTTGAGATCCTGTTTTGTTTTCAAAAATTTGCCGATTTGTGTGATGGAGTGTGATATAAATCTGTTCTCTAAGACAAATATGTACATATATATACATTTGTACATCTACATGCTATCTCTTGACCATCTTCAAAGTCCTGTGAAAGAGTAAAACTTGCTCTTAAGCACAAGGGGGGAGTCCGGGTAGGATGACTGATGTGTAGCAAGGTTTTCTCCCTCCTTATTTTTCATCATGCCAAGCTATTTGGACTGTGTAAGCTGATCCCGTGGAAATAGCAGGAGAAGACAGGTCATACTTTGTAGTTTATCCAAAATGTTCCTGAGAGTCGTCCTGTACTGGTTATGTCTGGACACTTTGGAGTTACGGCAGGACTTTTGTCAAATTAATTGGGTCTTTGGTGACCTTTCTGATACGTGGAACAGCCCTGCTCCTTATCACATTTCTGTGTTGCATGACCTGATCATTTTAGTTTTTAAATCAAACTATGCTTGTTTGTGTTTTACCTCACAAAATTAGGTGTACAAAAAGAAAACAAAAATCCTACAATTCACACGTACATTTCATTATATTAATGCAAATTCCTGGTACTGCAAGACTTGTTGAGTATTGAAGACTGGTTATATATTCAAAGCCTGGATTTCAAAACTTCTCGGAAGCGGTGATAGCACAAAAGTCCCTGGGCAGATCTGAAGTTCATGCTTGGGTCTGGTTAAATTTTTTGGCATCAGAACATGTAATAGTTTTATAGCTATAAGACTTTAAAGTTAATGCCTGGCATCACTTCAAAACAATGTGCAAGATCTATCATAAGTAGTCCTCTTATCTTATCTCGATAGCAATTTTATCCTGTAAATGATTTGAGAGTACAGTATCTCAGTGCTGTGGAAAAGAGCAAGGGGGTTTTTCTGTTAAATCTTTACACTGCGAGTACTTTTAATGATCCTGGTTTATGTACGGGTGTTCTACTTGGAGGAAGCAAACGTGAACTGTATCGCATGTTCTGCAAAGCACACGAAGAGTCCGTGGACTCGGTGGTCTCTCCTTTCCAGGGCACTCTGCAGAAGGTCTCTGTGCAGCTCAGCTTTTTAAAAAGCAACACTGGAGGCATCTCTGGTGTCATTTATAGCGTATCTGCAGTGCAAGTCCCTTCCCAGGTCCAGTCCTGACTCTGTGCCACGCTTTTCAGCTGATGGGTAGCAATGCCCTGATTTCCTGGCATACAAAAGATAACTCAAAATATTCCCTTTCTGCTGCCGTAGCCGCCTCTGTGTTGATGTCAATCTAACATCCACATTGTGCACTTTGCTTCAAGTCAGCACTTGCGGTTAACAATGCCTTTATTCAAGCTGACAACATAACTAAGCTTTTAGTAAATGTGTAAGTAAATGTTAAGTGTGTATTCAAACATTCAACAATGACTAGGAAACTTTAAAAAAAAATCTTTGAAACTTTGTATTGTTTGTTTGGTGTGTATCTGTTAGAAATAACATAGACTATCAGTTCCTTGGGGCATGACTGTTCTTTTGTTAAGCATATAACAAAAAGATCAAGGCTCTGAGGGACTGCCGTAATAAAAATAAATATATAAGAAGAACAATAATGACAGAATAAATTTGTCAATGCATTTTATGAGCTTGGTTTAGAAGTGATTATTTCTGAACTAAATAAAGACTGGATAGTTGTGGTAAAGTGACATGATCATAATACTCTTTTTATTTATTGCCATTTATACTTCATTTGTAGATCACATGCTACACTTTACTATGGGGCGGGAGGGGAGCCCCTCATCTCGGCGAGCATCCCATTTCAATAATATGGAATAAATTTTCACTGCAAATTCCAGACATGGTTTTCCAGAGAGAGGATTATTCTTCTGGCTTAAAGGAAAAGTTATTGGTACACTGCAAAAGTGTTCCTAGGAAGCACAGGTCATACAAATAAGATGAAAACAAAAATCGGAGACAATTGCAAATGCAAATGCAATTGTTGCAATTGCAACATTTCCATTTCCCTTTCAATCTTTGAGGATATTTATTACATTTTTAGTACGAATTCTTGTAGCCTATAATAAGATGGAACTACTAAGACTTAACTACTCCTGTTCAATCCATGGTCGTACCTGTGCAGAAGAACTTGACTCAATAAGGGTGGCCAAACCGGGTCTGTCGCGTCTTAGCAACTCTCATGTATGGCTGGAAGCAACTGTAGCTGAAGAGCTGTACTGATACTGCACTGTTTTCTTAATCAGCTCATTGAACGACATTACCTATAAGGTTTTCTGCCATCCCATGCTTCTCATGCGTGTTTTGCATCCGTTGGTGTTGTTTCAGGCCTTACAAGATGAAGTGGAAAGTTACCGCAATCAGGCGCGGGCTGCAGAGAAGAAGCTGCAACGCTGGGAGCTGGAGACCCACGAACAGGTACTGGCTGCTGTCTCCCCTGTCCTTTTCCCTTGGGCAAGGAGGTTCAATGTTTAAAAATAATATCTTGCTTCAAAGCAAAAGCACATACTTCCCTGCAAAATTTTCAGCTAGCTTGCTTTTCTGTTTTTTTGGTAATAAAAGAGAATTAAACTGTCTGAACCCTACAGGCAAATACTTATCTCATGCTCTCTATTTCAAGTTGGTATTTCAACTATTCTAGCTGTTAAATGATGCATTTATTTTGAACTGACTATAGTGTTTTAATAGAGGTTTCTGAGACTATTCTAACCTGTTGTTTAATGGCTTGTCTGAAGAGAATTATAATTGGGCAAAAACTGAGCTAAAAATAATCTTTATTCCTCATCTTATGCATTCATTGTCCTAGCATGTTGTCTGTAAACAGTTCCATATGATTAATAGTGCTAAAATTATTCTGGATACTTTCAGTGAAATCAGAGATTTAGTGTGCTTCAAGCAAAATAGTGTATGTAGTTTACAGACTAGTGTTGAAACAGAAAGTCAATGATCTGCATTCGAACCAGATTAAATTGAAACATACAGGAAAATATACAGGTGGTGGATATCTGAATCACAGACGACTTTACAGGTTTCTAATACAAATTGGGTTTTGCAGCATTTGAGAACTTTGTTTGGTGCTGAGTAAACTTTATCCGTAACATATATCCTATATAAAGCATTTCTAAATCTATACCTGCAGGAATAGTAAGTTGGGGTGGTTGTAGAGGAGTAATAATCATTAATTTCAAATATTTTTTTCCCCAGTTGTTGTTGTCCTACTTGCACATGGGAGCTGTCATTCCCCCTGGGTGTTTATGTTCATGTATTTCCTCTCAGGAGAGTCAGTGATTAGCTGTTCTGCTCTCTTCCCCCTCTGCCTCCCAAATCCAGATGTTGGGCCAGGTTCACCCTTAGCTGCAATGCTTGCAGCATTGGAGGAATTCGGTGTAATGAGTGAGTTGGCCTACAAGCATTGCATTTTGGCTTGAAAGAGTGTCTGGAAAAGAAGGAGGAAAATTAGCTATTTGGTGCATGGTTGTCCCTCCTGGGGAACGGCACTGGCCTGCACACTATGAGAGTCCTCTTCCAAATCTCTCTTTTTTATTATGTTTTTCTTTAACCTTTGCCACTGGCATTTTGCTTTCTTCCTGACCCATTTTGAGAGAGGATCCAGAAGAAGAAACAAAAAATGACTTGTGAAATACAGAGGTAGAAGGCTAGATGTGCAGATTCACAGGATGGTCCCCCCTTTCTGCCTTCAGGGTTTTTTTTTACGTGAGCACCTGGTCTAAACTAACCTACAGCACTATGATGAAGGACTAGCTCAGCTGGTAATGTCCCATTCCCCCGTACAAATGGAACAGGAATGTTATTTAAATGACATTGCACCATCCAGCTTAGAGCTTTTCTTGCAATATGGTAATATGTTAGCAGACTTATGGTAACGCTCATATCTGAGTTTGTCAACGGTCTTGTCTCTGCCATTCATCTGTTGGGACTTTCTGAAGAACCTGGAGCCATCGAGGATGTTTTTGTTTAGGTGGCTTTGGTCTATTTTGCAGACAAACATTTTGGAAGTTGTTAGTGTGACTGGTTAATCCATTAGTTATGCTTATCTTTCCAGCAGAAAAATGCAAAAATGACAGCTCTGACATATTTCCAGTTATTATGTCTTGGCCAGGCTACCTGTAAACATGTTCATCAAGTATTAACAGTAGCTAACAACTCATCAGCTGATCAGGGAGTTGACATATTTAAGGCAGAAACTTAGAACTTGCTTTCCGCTTTTACCAAATATTGTCTGAATTGGAATTGCATAAAACATCAACATTTGCTCTGGTGCTATTACAAAGGCCACTTTCCTGAGCTCTTTCATGTCTATAAATAAGGAGGAGAGAGGGTTAAACAGCTTCTGGTTTTCATTAAAAGGAAAAATCTTGTGTTTTGATTCTATAACAACAACAAACAAATGAATGAGACATGAAAAAACATTTTGTTGTGCTTTTAATTAAAAATAAAAAGCTGTTTCTCGTTATGGCTTGTTGGGTGGTATCTTAGTGCTCCATGTTTGTCTTTTTTTCAGTGCAATGTCCTTATAACTCTTCGGTCTCTAAGAGTGACTGACAGATCCACAAAGCTTAACTCTTTGTTACAATAACCCTCTGGTGATTGCACAGAGTTAACCTTTCTTTATTATAATTATCTAGGGAGACAAAGACAAATTATCCTATAAATAAGGGGGGGAAATACGTTAGAAGGACTCTGATGGCAAGCCCTGAGCTGTCTGGAGGCGAGCGTGGTGCTGCAGTTGAAGATGAGCTGTTGTTTTTATGGAGCTTTTTCATTTCAATACTTGGTGTTCTTGTATGAACTTGTGTTTACTCCTGTTTACTTCGTCAATCCTCTTTGCTGCGTGAGTAGATGCAATCACGTTATATCTGTGTTGTTTCATCAGTGGTGCAGTATGGCAACGTTATCTGAATGATGAGTTCCAATCCCGATGAACGTACGTTTGTCAAAAGTGCCCGGAACTTCTCCCACTTTGACTAACCTAATTAATTTTATCTTTTCCATAAAGGTTGTCCTGTCTCTGCTAAGCATGGTTTTCTAGGACAATGGTCCATGTGTTCAGTAATGCCTCACTTCTAGATTGGAGTCTCAGAACTGTATCATCTTTCTTCATGTCATGATGCTGGATGTTTCCTTCAAAAATTAGATGTCCACCTTCTTGAGACATATGTAATGGTATTCATGGCAAGTGGCAAACCAGCAGTAAATAAAGTGTAACTCACACTTAATATATAGTTTTTTGTATGTAGGGGTTTTGATATATAGTCCCAAGACAGTTGAAGCAGTCTGGGAAGGTTCCAAGGAAATTTGGGTGTGTCCAAACATTTTCCTTGCAAAGCAATGTTGAAGGTTCTTGTATCTCAGTGCTGCGTAACTCTGGGAACCGGCTTCCCATCAACTAATCCCATTTAGGTTATGTTCCTGTATCGTATACTCTTGTAGTGCATCACTTGGTTGTCTCTGATACATGCCTAGATCTAATGTAAGACAAGATTTCTGATAGAAAGACCTTTCGTTCTACTAAAAATGTTTCTCTTTCTTGAGTCATATGGCTTTGTGCAGTTGTCAGTCATAGTTAAAAAATCTAAATTGTTCATACAGCAGACTTTACATCCTGTGAATGTGTAATTAAAAATGACACACATCACTGAGAGCCCAAGCGTGTGCCTGGAATTTAGGCACGTGCAACAGATTTTGCTGAATGGGGGCCTGTATAAAAGTTAATGGTAGTGATCATCTTGCTTTATTACCTAGATTTCTTTAGAATACCTCATTCCATTTCATTTCATATTCCTTTTTGTAAGCATAATCACCCAACACAGTATACTAAAAAGCTCCAAGAATCTCTCTTTCAAGAATTACATGAATTTCCCCCCCCCCCCCAGAAAAAGCCCCCGTTCTTTTCTTTTTTTTTTCTGATATTTTTAACTACAGGGGTGGATTGAGTACAATGTAAAATTTCTAACTGGGGATAATAGAGGGAAAAGTGTTCCTCATGTTCACAAACAACTGAAGTACCAACACTACAGATACTCAAACCACAGGAATACTCCTCCAAGCAGTCAAGTCACAAATAGAGTCTTAAAGGAGAGAGATTCTCTGAAGACAGAAAATCAATTATGTTCAATTCATGAATATTACTGAGGAAATGAAGGAGAATACCAATGTAGACTTCCAGCCCTTTAATTTCTTTTTTCTCAAATAGATTATAAAGAGGGGAGAAAGGAGTTATCTGAGTAAGGATATTGTAGAAGTATTTGGAATAAAATGGAACAGCTTAGTTTGCTAAGTGGATTTCACTCATGTTCAAATGAAAAAAGAAGTGATAACTGTAAAAGCTATGATTCAAAAACATTCAGCAAGTTTTCATTTTTAATGTTTATTATTCTGACTTGCTCAATTTTTTATGACTGCTGGATATTTACCACATTCAGCCTAACTTACTGTTTCCATGCCAACTAAATATATTTGTTCTCAGACGAATGCTGTGATGCATCATCCTGAAATTTTAGTTGCTGTGTAGCACAGAGAACTTCTAACATTTGCCACACCTTCTCCTTGATGGGAACAGTGCTACTGCCTGCAGATTTGTGGAGCTGGGAGTAAAGAATCAGTAAGACAGAGATGAGCGACATGTGCCTGTTTCCAGGGTATGGTCCCAAATAGGTCTTAATACAACGACGACTGGAGGATTTGAGGAATATTAATGTCCCTTTAGTTTAGGGCTTTTGGTCCGTGTTTCTTTTCAGACTCATTTTTAAAGGTATCGTGGAGTTTTAAACGCAATCAGATAAATTCACAGAAAATCTTTGCCCTCACTTCCATCACCCTGCCCTGCTATATATGCTCTGGAAAAAGCACATGGAAGCGGTGGACTTTCCTCTGTCTGGAGGTGGGTGAACCACCGCAGGAAGGTTGCTGCAAACCCAACCTCTCTCCTGCTGCAGGTGCCCCAGGTAACCACGACAGCCAGGCAGAGCTTCTGGGGCCCCTGCCTTCAATTTCCAGACTTTCTCAGAGGGTTGTCTTTCTCAGGACGTGTTAGAGTCATCTAAAATCAGGCTAGAAAGCTCTAGGGTAGGCATTTAAAAAGGAAAGCTTTGCTTTGTGGCCGGCTGCAGGTGAGGAGGATTTAGGCAGCCTTTGGTTTGCAGAGCCGAGGAGCACTTTGGAAACTGAGAAACAAACAGTTGGCGCGCGCTGGAGGCAGTGATGAAATTCTGCCATTTGCTCTGGTTGCTTCAACCCACGTCGCTGAAACGCTTCCAGAAATTTTCCCCCAGAGACCCATTTCTGCTCCCACAGAAATGGGAAGCCGAGTCTGGATTTGAATGATCTTAACCGCAGAAGTGATTCACAGAGAGCAGCCCTTGCGCTGTCACTGCCTGCGGACCGGGCGATTAACCCCT